GTCTCATTCCTCGTTCTCTGCCATCAGCCATAAGGAGATCTCCAGATTTACGTAATATTCGTATAATTTATTGAAAATGAAAAGTGTTGAATTTTTAAATGTTTTGTTTTGTGCCGAGGTGCAAATCTGGCTATCGTTCGCAAAGAACAAAGTACAAAAAATTGGGAATGAAAAACCTAATTAAGCCTATTCAGAGCTCGCACCGTAAGTAAAACGCATATTACATATTAAATAATATATTATATGTTTTACATGTATTATCAGATCGTATTTAACACAATTTTTTATTGCCCTATTATTGCCATAATAATTCATTAATTTCTTTTATAATGGTAGTTCATTGATGATTTACTCCGGTTCTACATTGGTCGTAGTTCGAGATCGCGAATGCTCCCCTGGCGAAAAAAATTTCTATAAATAACTACAAAATTTAACTAGAAATAGAAATTTGTACATTTTTGTTGAAATATTTAATTTTTTGTAGAAATAGTTATTTTTTTGTAGAAATATCTACGAAATAGTACCACAAATTACAATGTTCTCAAATCAAGAAATTATTGCAAGTAGTATTTTATGAAAAACTACAATTTTATAAAAAATAGTACAAAGATCTACAAATTTTAAAAATTTAAAAAGAAACAAAATCTTAAAAAATTAAAACATCTGCTTACTTGTAGAATACTACAATTATTTATAAATAACTATAGAAATCTACTACAATTTACGTATCGTAAAACTATGCAACTTAGAATTTAATTCAGTTTTTAGTTTCTCATAAAATACTACAATTGCGTACAAATACTAACAAATACCAATTTTTTTGTACAGCTAAAAAATTTATTACAATTATGGCTAATTAAAATTTGTAATTTTCAGTTAAATGTTACAAATTTTTACACAAATTTTCCAAAATTCATCTATTATTAATAACTTCTTAATTCGCAAAAGTCAAAATACTTTTGTTTTTATTTTCGTATAGTCTGTTGTAAAGTCCAATAGAAAAATACATAAATGTACAATTTTTTACCTATATAAATTTCTGATTCGTGAATGATTGTAATTTTGCATACAATACTACAAGGTTCTACAGAAAACGACACAATCCTTAAGCCTTTTACAACTCGTGAATTTATGAAAATCTACATTGCTTTTTTTAGATGTTTATAAGATACTACAATTTTACATGGAAATTAACAGATCTTTAACCAAACCTTCAACCTTTCCATGGAAAGTAAAAATTAATATGTCAATTAAAAAAATTAAGTATCTTACTTATGCAAAATTAGAAAAAAAAGAAAACTTATTAAAATAACATCTAAGCAATGAGAAGTGCCGTTTTCAGTTGAAGCGGATCTTGATGCTTAATAATATTTCACAATATCAATTATTATTAAATACATGTTTCAGTTTTTTAAATTGGCACTGCGTGCCAATATGGACTTTGTCGGACTTAAAACGCAATTGTGTAAACTGAAACTAAAAATAATATATTTTATATTAATTTGATATTGTCAAGTAAAATAATATACTATTAGAAGAATATTTTTACAACAGTTATACAAATTTATATGGATAGATCCATTATAGAGTTGTATATTCATATATGATTATCTTTAACCTTATAAATATACTTTTACATGATTACACATGATAATATACTAGTATATAAAACCATATATGACTATATAAAGTTATATTTAAAGAGATATAGCCATATAATATTGTTCAAGATTATATTTCCATTTTTTATATGACCATACATAATTATATATTTACTAATTTAAACAAATAAGAGGTATTTTTTCTCGAGTATATAATCATATATGCTTATATATGACCATATAATATTGTTTAAGATTATATTTTCCATTTCTTATATGATCATATATAATCATGTATCTACTAATATAAACTAATATGAATAAATAAGAAATTTTTTTTCCCGGGTTATGCGGTTTTAGACATGTGTGTACGTGGTGCTGGGTAAGGTTTTTTTTTATAATAACTCGCTTTTTATTTTACAGATAAGTTAGAATAAATCAGTTTTTTTTTGTAATCGCGCGGCGCGACGTTGGCCCAATAGGCCTATTTTGTAATGAGCCGGCACTGGTTTCTGACATTCACCCGACATTCAGAAAAAATTATATTCGTATATCCGATTCGAAATTTTATTACTTTTTTTAAACTGAATTTGTTTCTTAAGAATTTTTGAAAAATTCTATATTTGCGCTGGTTGTGACACATGTAGACTATATATAACACTTACATCAAATTAAGAAGTAGTCTACCACGTAAGACGGTTGGTTCACGATCCAGAGGTGCCGAGGTCTCTCGAGTTCGAATCCCATCAAGGTAAGTGTGTTTTTCAAGTACGAGAAAATATTTATAATTATAGAAACAAATTTAGTTAAAAAGTAGTAATAAAATTTCAAAATAAATATAATTTTTTTTATGTCGGGTGAATTTCCTCATTAGAGTGTTTTAATTCTAGTATTTCTTTATATTCTACTGTACTCAAATAGATATAGAAATGTGTAGAATATCAGTATTAGTTGTAGTTTGGCGTAGTTTTACCGAAAAACTTATAGATCAAGATGCACTAAAAAAATACAAAAATTTACAAAAGTGTTCCAATTCTAGCATTTTCATGTAGGATTTTGTAGTACTTCTTAAATTCATGTAGAATTTAATAAATTCTGGCAATTATATTTTATAGTTTTTTGTAGTACATTTTTATTTTTTTTTTTAATTTTGTAGAAATATTTCCGCCAGGGTCGAGATCACGAATGCTCTTGAATATTCTTATTCTCATTTAGACGACTGTGTCATGAGTCACAGCGAATATCGCCCCTTGTTTGTTTCGCGCTCACGTCATAAGAATTATTCTCCGTACGAAGCCGAATCACTCTCTGGCACGGTGGTCCTTTCAACGATCAATAATTACGAGGACAATGGCTATGTGCATCTTCGATATTCACTTCGAGAAGTTTCTATTCTATGACATTTTGACCTTAGCTAAGCATTCGTCATCCCTGGCGCGTTCTTTGTCTCGGGCGGGTATAAAAACCCATAAAACTTACGGCGCGCGGCCATTCGTCAACAGTGTGTCAAGATCTGTCATCGATCGATATTGTGATGGTCAGTTCTCATTTACGCGCGGGTTATTCAACACCACAAGCGAGAAAGTGTTGATATAGAATTTGCTTAAAACCGCCCGCGTTTCCGGAGTTCACTTAAATTCAAATACATTTATAAATTAATTATGTCATTCTTTAATTTCGTCATTATTTTTGGTTGTTAAATAAACTGTTGTGTTACTGGCAAGCTTCTGATGTTAGTGGTCTCTCAAGCACTATCCCTCTTCACTCACACGCGCGCGAACAGTCGTATCGTAGCATAATTCATAAAATTATAAGAAATTGACCAATTATAGTCGAATTGGAGAAGAATAATCAACTGTGATTGGTCAATTTCTTACGATTTATGCTACGATATGACTAATGTATAGAACGGGTCTTACATGATTATTATTATACCACAGCACAGTACTTCGCAGTTTCGATTAATGATGTTATTTACAATTCTATTTTTGTTCTGTTAAACATAGCCATAATAATTTATTAAAATTCAAAATTATAACTCACTTTCTCAATTATAACTCACTTTTTAACTCACTTTTCTTATACTTCAATGTAGTAAAATTCCAACCTTACGCATCGCGTAATTTTGTTCAGTCGCCTGTTACCAGTAGCGAGAATACCGTTTTTTTAACACCAGCGCCACCAACTTTCGCCCAAAAATTGGCCCACTTTCATAGTATGGAGATCGGTCTCCTTATATCTTATTTCCTAGCTCTTTCTTTTCAATAGTCTGAAATGCCATCTATTGATGCAAAAGCAACCGTACGTACGTACGAGTACGTACGGCGATGATAACGACGTTTCTTAATTGTAAAATTTAACATTTCAGACTTTCGTCGCAATATCTTCGCTCGTAGGGCACATAACGGAAAAATATAAACTTTTTATTACATAATTCAAACCCAATTATAGTTATCGATCAAGCCTACTTAGAACTTGATCCGTTCACTCGTTATTGAGATATCAAAATCTCGGATACTTGCAACTCGTCCGTTCGCGTAAAGATACACGGCGGTCTCGTGTTGCGCGTGTACTTGGCGCGAAACACTACAGTGTCTCCTTGATAGAAAGTAAAAGTAACAGTTCGTAGTTGAATAACCTTTTTTTATCTTTAGAAAAATCTTGAATATAAAAAAATCCTATTTTTAATATCTTACAATAATTTTTTCCTAACGCAAGCGTGAAATAGGCCGCTTTTCGCGCTTGTTTTGAGTGAGCAAAACGATCCATTTCTCCACTAGTTGAAAAATGGAGCCATTTCTCAACTAGTGGAGAAATAAAATTGTAAAACAAGCACGAAGAGCGGCCTGTTTGACGCTTTTGTTAGGAAAAATAGTATGAACAACTCGTGGGAAGAGTGGTCGAGCCCAAATGAATTTGATGGCCCAGACTCATATGATAAACATAGATACGTGTCTGCATTTGGCGACTTGCCATGTAATTTCTTCAGCTCTTCGTTCATGGATGCCATTAAATATCATTTTTTAATACACAATAGAGACAAACCTCAATTGTGATTCTTTTAGTATTTATAAATTTAATATAAAATCAGTACGAGTATAAATGTTTAACATATTGGTTTTAAGAGGAAACCTGAACAAAATCTTAATTATTCACGATATATTAGTCTCTGTTTCATGTGCAGAAGTTTATAGTGGGTGCGAGCCAGAATTGTGCAATGTATGTTTATTCACAGTTCTTTATTAATTAATTTTTTATTATTTATTGCAAAAATTGCAAAACAATACAGAACTTTTTTGTTCAGTTTAACCCACTTTATCTATACATGAGTGTCACACCTACTGTCAGATACCCTATTTAATGAGGTATGATTATATAGTTCTGTATATTTATACAAACCTTCGATATCACTAAATAGAATCTTCGACATCTTTGCGATGCTAACTTTTTTATCTCCCTTGTCGTTCATGTACTCTCTCTCAGCGTTGTTATTTGTGCGGAATATTGATTCAAGAACCTGTCGCGAAAGTAATGGCGATATGGGACGTTTTTGCGCACTATTCGTATTGGCTGAGGTATCACACGAGCTTTCATTATCACATATGCTCGCCGTGGACATGCTGTCCGTAATCAATTTCTCAGTATCCGAATCACCAGCATTGCTATAGTAATTATTACCACTATCGGACTTCTTTAGAATCGACCTTGATACCCGGTGATGATCTGTGAACGACATTCCACCGCTGTTTATCGAGTCTGCTGACAACGAAAGCTTATTCTCGACGCTCGTTTCTGAAACAAATTTCATTATATTTCATTACATTGCTTCGTTATGTAATATCAATTGATGAATAATCATGAATGCTTAACAAATATCAACTTTTAACTTTATTTATAATTATTTTACTCTTAACATTTATATACAATTATATACAATTATCGCGCTTCCACTCAACTACCGATACTATAAGCAGTCTTTTGAATGTTTTCAATAATATCCCCAAAAAACATAAAACTCGTAATTATGTTATCATACAAGAGTGTTCTGTGCTTTATAAATCACTGTAATCCTCTAAAAAAGAAAAAAGTTTTTAAAAATAACGGTATATTCCAAGGGCCTGGGGCTTGATCCTTGAATTTATTTGCAAAAGAAACGTATGCGCAAATTCTGCTTTTACAGAAAAGTTGCAAGTTGATTGGCTCTCGTATGGCTTTTAACCAATTAACTTGTAGATTTTTCGTAAGATAGAATTCGTATAGGTTCTTGCGAATGAATTCAAGAATCGAACCTCAGGCTTATTTATATAACCGCCAAGAACGAAGGAGCCGCCGATCTTATTCTTATTGCTTCGGACTTTCCCCACCATCACGTTTTTCGGTAGCAGTCAATGTAACTTGATGCTGTATAGCGCCGTGTCATAAACGTTTTTATGGATAAAGCAGCATGGATATAGCATATGAAGTAAAATATCGTATTTTAAAAAAGGGCGCGCTGTCTTGTCTAGCTACTTTTATGGCAGCTGCACGTAGCGAGAGAATTCGCTAGAACACGCTTGTCTGGAAATTTGTATTTTTCTCTCAAGTATTATTAAAGATTATTAAAAGTAGAACCAGTGTTCTTTATTGCATAACTTTACCAATATTGATGATGATATCTCACTATGTGTTATACAATTTTTTCACAAAATAATGCAAGTTACAATGCTTTTTGCATACGCGTCCTAACATGGAAGCAATAAGTGATATTTCATAAGATGCACGATGCCAATATAATATAAGACAAGATAAGAACAAACATCGAGTACTGAAAGAGTAGGGAAACCAGCTGGCTAGTGAGGAAGCCTAAACTAACCCACACAGCAAAGTATATCTGAGATAGGTATAATCAGATATCTTTATGCCTACAATTTTTAAGTCAAATCTGAGATCTTATTTTCAGATATTCACAGAATATCTGCAGGACATCATTACTCGATATCACACGATACCTTTAAAAAGGATATCTTTGCAACATTTGCCTACGAATATATGGCCGATTCACAGTCAAATCTTATTATATTTTATAAAGATGAACTCAAGTTTATTTGTAGCCAATAAAACAATCCATATAGCATCTTAAAATAAGCTTCAGGCGATCTGAAATGGGAAATAATGACCGACCTTAATCCTCCTGGACAAAATCCCTTCATATTTAATCCGGACTTAAATCCCTTCGGACAAAACCTCTTTCTATACAATTCCCCCCGGACATATGTATTCTCCCCGAGCAAACTCACTTTGGACGAAATCCTCCTGTATAAAAATTCCCTCGGTTAAAAGTTGAAAACCTGAATCGTACAATATTGTCCAAAGAACAATCCACGCAAAGCGAGATCTATTCCATCCCATCCCTGCTTACAGGGTGAAACGAAGTTTATCATTGTACGGTTCGGGTTTTCAACTTTCTACGCAAACACAGGTCCACCCCCATTCACACCTGTTTGCGGGAGAGAGGCGTAGCCTATACCCCCGCCTATACGTATACTTTCAAGTAAGAGAAAATTGAAAGTAATGTTTGTATAATTTTTTTTAATTTTTTTTTATTGTTAGTTACTTTGGTATCTATTAGTCGGAAATTTTTTTTTTTATTTTTCCGTGTTCCGCGCCAAAAATGCCTCCAAAAATTACTTACATTTCGAGGAACCAAAGTTATCGTGATTGTCCATCTCCTCGACATAAATTATCTATGTCGTATTATCTTCTCGGACGTAATCTCTTTGATGCAAAATCACCTTTGCGTGTATATTTGGGGTAATTCAGTAACCGTTGAAGTTTGAATTATGTTTTGAATTGAACGAGATGTTCATGTTTTGATATATTTTCTATTGCTAAATAACGGACTATAAATCAGTCTCCTGCTCGTCCGTTCGTGTTGTGTATTGTAGCTGGTTGCATTCTAAACATTGTGACGTTGTATATAAAATAAATTGTAATGATTGTAATGATTGTAACCTCTTATGTAGGTCAAACTGCCAAACAATTGCAAACGAGAATTAAGGAACACCATAACCATATATTAAAAAGAACACGATTAATCATTTTGTTATAACAGATCATAGATTAACATTGAATCACTTCAATTGGGACAACGTTGAAATTTTAGATAATGAATTGTATTTTTATAAACGTTTAATATCTGAGATGTTGTTTATAAAAAGATAGAAGAGAAGAATGGATTGAATTTGCAGACGGACACGGAAAGTTTGCCGGACACCTATTTGAACGTCATTGATAGGTTGTCAAAAATTTGAATTCCTCCGCTGGAAATTATATTTCGTCAGCGTGAATCCATACATATTGTTATTTATATACATATTGTTCCAAACCCATACATATTGTTCCGACTCTCAACAAATGTATCATTATCTCACGAAACGCAACAGAGACAAGTACATCGTCTATCCATATTATAACACTGCGTCCTGTAATTCTGTCAATTCCGTAAGTAAGATAATAGAGCTGTAAATTCGTAGGTATCAAATCTAATGCATTACGTTGTTTAAAAAAAAAAACATTGTGACTCCGATTGCACAGGGCTGTAGAATCTGACGCTCAAGTGAGAACATTCGAAGTGCTTCTCGCCTTTCTTCCGGGCCATCCAACCTGTGATTTCAGTGCATGAAGATGCAATCGAATCGGAGCATATACGTACCGGCATATCTACACCTTAACAAACTGCAGATTATCCGTATAGTTTTTCTATTAATTTACTGATTTGATTGCCTTTTGTTGACCGACACACCACAATATTTCTTCTTAATTGTTAGACAGCGTAAATCGAATGTTAATTTTTCATATTTAATTTTTTATGTATATTTTTGCGCTTAAGATGACCCAAAGAAAGGGTCAAAACGTCCGAGTTTGTAATGACTAATATATTTATTTGACGTATTTGATGAAATTGATTGCGCACTAATCACCGCGCCTGGCTCCTATTGCCTCTCTCACTTTCCTTTTTTGATCTATGCAAAAAATCTTGCCATGGATTGTGTCATATATCGTCGATAATGCAAACTTTTATGTGACATTTTCGTTCTTTTTTTATGGTAGTTGCGGGTTTAAAACATTTTGTTTCCTTGCTTATAATGCTGTGAATTGTGCTGCAGGAATCGTATTGCATGAAACCGACCAGAATCATGTGCCTGATAAAGCGTTAATTGAGGTCCGATCTGCGAGAGCGCAAATGCGGAAGAAAGCGAAGACGAGTTATGAGCCAATGTCCTTTGTTGTCTCGTCCGTTCTGGCTAAAGTATCAACATCGGCTACCGGACTACTATAAAGACATTTCAGGCAATGAGTAAACAGTGTGACTTATCAGCAACATTAAATTTATTTCTGTTATTTTTTTAAAACATTTCATACATTTTCAACATTTTTGTTTTTTAAGTTCTTTTTTAGTCTCTTGAGAGATTGTGTTATATGAGAGATATATATACTAACACATTAACATATGTTAATTACAGTTATATTTTACAAATGTTAAAGTTTAAAAGTATTTTATATGTATTTTTATTTTTACTGATTGTATTTTTTTTTCAAAAATTAGAGATACTTTGTTTAAAAACTATTCTTTTAATAAATAAAAATTTAATATGCAATGTATATGTTACGTCCAACCCCAGGATTAAGATTAGAAAAACTAGGAAGCGAAGGAAAGGCTAACCAGAGGGGTAAGGGTAAGGAAAGACGCAACCAGATATTGCAATGTCGCTCGCAGGTACACGCTCTGAGGCGCGTGGCGCGAGCCGAACGCACTTTCAATGGCTTAGGAAAAGTCAACGTCCCGTAGGGACGCCTTCTGTGAGCGGTGCGATCGTCGGTCCTCTTTTGAGTCAGTTGAATTTAATTCCTCTAACTCAGGATCGGACCTCGTGCGATTTTGAGAGGGGGAAGTGTAGTGGGTGAGGTTTAAGTTATAAATGAACGCAAATTGAAATTAATATTTAACATAAGATAAACATTTATTACAATAATATAGGTTAGTTGAACAATAAATGAGAATTAGGGCAAATAAAATTGAATACATTCATACTTAAGTGTGAATGTATTCGGATGTATTCGGATGCATGTGTAACGTGTGTTCTTCGCGGGTGTTACATTGGTGCGGCGGTGATCGGGCAGGATCTTTGAAGGGGAAACCTATTCAATGCACATCCTGTCCTCTATTATTAAAATTAATTTTAGGATTGAAGTTACATGAATTTAACTATGTATGTGTGGGATGTATGAGTATTTGAATTAAATTAAAACATATAAAGGAAAATAAGTAATATCTATACTATAAGGCGTGTTAATTATCAGTTTATGGTGATCACCTCGGGATCGACTACTTCCTCGAGGGTGGCTGTAAAGCGATGGAATAACTCTTTTAGGACGTAAACGAGAATTTTGTACGGGAATTCATGGTTGGGGATAAAAACGAGAGTGAAGTGGCGAGGATCGGCCCTGAGGATTAACTTCGTTAATGTCGAACTCCTCAGGACCAATGGTAAAAGTCCCTTCCGGAATATGTTTAGTATAGAGAGAAAAATACGTGGGTATATTGAGAAGAAAATGCGAGTATTGAGGACCTTCCTCGAGAACCGCGGTCGAGGCGGTCGACAGCGTCGGGGATGGTCCTCTGGAAAGTTCCTCGAAAGGAACAGGGGAATATGACCTTTCCTGTATGGGGGAAGGATTGAAGGCAGGCGAGAAAGAGGGGGAATCAGGAAGTTCCACGGAGCAAACCGGGGAATACGAAGGTTCGAGC